GGCCTGCAAGCACCCTGACCTACAGGGAACAGAAGTAGTCAGAGTCTCTCTCTCTCTCTCTCTCTCTCTCTCTCTCTCTCTCTCTCTCTCTCTCTTTCTCTCTCTCTCTGGAAGATACTGTATTTTCTTCCTCAAAGTAGACAGACAGACAGACAGACAGACAGACAGAGGAGGGAGGAGACTTGGAGGGAGTAAAGGAAGGAGGAGGGAAGGGAGGGAGGGAGGGAGGGAGGGGCTTTTCTCATGTGGGAAGGGAACTAAGAGATTAATAGAGGGGAATGAAGAGGTAGGGCACAGGTTGAATCAAAGAATTAACAGATGGCATGCACAATCTCCTGCTCCCCACAGTGACGTGACCATCATATCTGGAAACACGTACTAATAAAAAATCAAAATTAAAAAAGTGACAATCCCAGGGCCTGGCAGGAAGAGTTCGACAAATATCTGTTCTTGAGTCCTTTTCCTTGCAATTCTTATTATCATTGTTTTTAAATCCTTGAGTACCTGTGTTGGTTAAACCACACACACACACACACACACACACACACACACAAATACATTCCCTAGAAAGGACCCATAATGTGAGGTAGTAAGTGAGAAGCAGCTGATTTGGGAGGAAGGAGGAAAAGCGATTTTTTTAGATCATGTACTCTGACATTTTTGATCCAGGTGCTTCAAACACAGAATAACTTCACAGGGAAACCCTGCACTATTTGCAAAGTTTTCAGACAGCAGGTGGGGAATGGAAGGTGCGTGTCTCACTCAGACAGCATGGAGACCAGGGTGAGCCATATGGCAGGGAGGGAGGGACAGCTCCAGGCCAGTGCCCAGGTCTGTCCCGAGGCACCAACACCTCAGAGACACAGGAGAGGAGGTAACAATGGGTCAACCTGGGCTGGGAGCTGACTCAACAGAAGGTCCCAGAAGGACACTGTCCCGCTTTTCGAGTTAACCATGCAGAACGATCAAAGCTGATGAGGTTAACGCTCAGCCAAGGGGCCATTCTCTTCCCTACTTCACTTCTGAAGCAAGGTGGCTTCCTGAAGAATTTCCTCCAGGATAAAAACATGCTCCGACTTCTTTCTAAAAGCTGACACTGACAGAAGCCCCACAACCCATTATCTCACTTGATGTCAAAACACACAGAGGTAGGTGCCATTCTCACTTCATTCTCTAGACAGAGAAGCTGAGCTCGGGCCCAAGCACCTTGCTTAATCGTGCTCTCGTCAGACCAGCTAGGTCCATGTAGTCATCCACCCGACGCCTGCACAGCAAGGCAGGCAGCACCAGATCCATGCCGTGCACTTTGGCTACTTCCATTCTGAGAAACAGCCATGGCAGCGTTCCGTGACAAAGGGACAGCCAGGCGTCTTCTGGGCAAGCGACAACTTTCTCCCTGACCCTTCAAGGCGTATCTGGGGTGATGTTCATTGGCTCGCTGAATTCCAAACTGTCCCCTGACCTTGCCAGTAAACTATAAGTTGGTGGCAGTCTTCAAAAATTTATTTTCAGCCAAAGTTGCAAGGTGCCACTGCCCCAGAAATCTCCGGCTGCTGCAACATGTGAAGTGCCTGGTGTACTCAACGTCAGTGAGCTCCGCAGGGCCGCATTTCACAGCAAGGCTTTAGCAGGTTCACATTTTGCCACTTTCTGAGAATCACATATTTTGGGGCCATTGCACCACACCCTGAGCTGCCTAGCGGTGGATCTCATAACGGCACACAAGGATGGTCCTGTGTGATTCCCAAATCGGACACACTCACTGGAAGGCAAAACAGTAGTCTTGCTTCTCTGGTGTCCCAACAGGAAAAGAGACTGAGGACTTCTATGTGTCCACCAAGGTGCAAATTCGGACTCCTCTTGACATTGTCCCTACCTCTCCCACCCGCAGGACACTCCCAGCAAGACCGCCTATGCCGTCCTCAGCTGCCTGACTTAGTCGGGCAGAGTAGGGGAGAGCTCCTGGGGACTGAGGCAGCTCCTCAATCTTGCTCATTCTCCCTTCAAGCCAGAGGACAACCATTTTTAAAAGAATGTTTCCACCAGTCTTCTTCTTCTTCTTCTATTATTTGTATAATTTTTTTTGGATCTGGGGATTGAACCCAGAGCTTTTGAACTGAGCCATTTCCCCAGCCCCCTTTCTAATTATTAATTTTGAAACAGGGTCTCCATAAATCGCTAAATTACCCAGGCCATGTCTCCTGGAGTGCTGGGGTTACAGGCGTACCCCATCATAGCCTGTTCATTAGATAACTCATTTTGAACGTACTCAGAGTATTCCAAAGGAGAAATTCGCAGATGTCAGTGAATGTTCCCAGTGACTCACTCACCTGCCTCTTAGTTCTGTGATTT